ATTTAATCAACGCATATCAGTTGTATTATTAAATGGATTAAATTATTAAACTCACGTGCACGTCTAGAAACATCTTTGGCAAAAGCTCAGCGCATGTTTTCTGCAAGAATCAGAGTAAAGTTTAGACATGACCATAATCATACAGCAGCTCTTATCGACAGGAACAGATTCACTTACCGTGCGATTAGATTTATGTATTTTGTCCAAAGTATTCATGATTTCTTTGCTGAGTTCCAGCATGCGCGAGTAACAGGTCGGCGGCGCGCTGCGCGTGAAACAGATCAAACCGAGAGTAAATACCAAAGAAACGAGTCTCGTCTGCGCGTTCATGTTCGTCTCTCTCAAACACAGAAGTTCTGTGATGATGATGATGATGAGATTCTCTCTATAAACGCGTGCGCCCGAGAGAGAGAGAGAGAGAGAGAGAGAGAGCGCTGTCCCGATGACGTCACCTGCCCACTCAGTGCACGCGCAGATGTTTGTTGTGGAGTGGACAGACTGATCTCATGAAGTAGCGTGTGTATGACACGCCAATTAAACACGCCAAAATGCATAGAGATAATTTATGTTATGTTACGTGTATGTTTACGCAAAAGTCATGATACATAAAAAAAATTCTCCCATCCCAATTTTTTTTCTACCACCATATCCCTTTAGGGGTACAGTAGTAGACAAGAAAGTGCAATATCAATGCCTCGTTCATTCATTCATGTGTATATAGCCAAAGGTTTTTGGATGTCTGCTTTTTTCATGCGCACCCCGCGCTTTACTCGAAGATGAAACCAAGTCTCAGAAATAAAATACAGATTTAATTTCACAGCATTTCAATTGATCAATCTTTTTAAAAAATGTGTGTAAATATAAAGCTGCAGGTCAACACAAGTACTATTGTCGCACCAAACAATCATCTGACCCGATAATTTCACCATCCACTGAGTGTTTATGAAGGAAATGGAAGGAAAACTATTGACAAAGAAACAAACACGAGTCAGTGCAAATGCAAACAGGCAACAACCAATCAGCTTTCAGCAGACACAAACATCACAACACGGTCGATAAAAGATAATGATAAAACAACAATATATACAGAGAAAGACACTGTCGTAATTATGTTCCCATATCGCCTTCCAGTGTGGTCGTCACGTGTGTTGTTCAGGAGCCACACTGGCTTTCTTAAAGTTCAGGAAGTTGCGTTTCTTCTTGCGTGATCGAGTGTTTTGTGTTTCCTGCTGCGCTGAAGGAGGAACACAGCGGAAAACAAACAGGCGTTCTGAGGAAACGAGACTGTGGTTAGCCACGCCTACAGGCCACGCCTCCTCATTACCATCCCTCACATTACTGTCCTGAGCCACGCCTACAGGCCACGCCTCCTCATTACCATCCCTCACATTACTGTCCTGAGCCACGCCCACAGGCCACGCCTCCTCATTACCATCCCTCACATTACTGTCCTGACCCACTCCCACAGGCCACGCCCCCTCATTACCATCCCTCACGGTACTGTCCTGAGCCATGCCCATAGGCCACACCCCCTCACCACCCCTCGTCATGTGGCCAGCCCCCGGCTCCGCCTCCAACTCCACCTCCCGCACAGGAATGTTTGGGGTGCGCCGACGTCTCCTGCGAGTCTCATGAACGCCTCCGGAACCGCCACTCAAAAGTTTATCAAGGAGCTTCTGGCGCTTCTTCATCAGCCTGAACAACACAACACACAACAGTGTTTACAGTGAACACAACAACACACTTACACAACAGTGTTTACAGTGAACACAACAACACACTTACACAACAGTGTTTACAGTGAACACAACAACACACTTACACAACAGTGTTTACAGTGAACACTACAACACACTTACACAACAGTGTTTACAGTGAACACAACAACACACTTTACAGTGAACACAACAAAACACTTACACAACAGTGTTTACAGTGAACACTACAACACACTTACACAACAGTGTTTACAGTGAACACAACACACACAACAGTGTTTACAGTGAACACTACAACACACTTACACAACAGTGTTTACAGTGAACACAACAAAACACTTACACAACAGTGTTTACAGTGAACACAACAACACACTTACACAACAGTGTTTACAGTGAACACTACAACACACTTACACAACAGTGTTTACAGTGAACACAACAAAACACTTACACAACAGTGTTTACAGTGAACACAACAACACACTTACACAACAGTGTTTACAGTGAACACAACAACACACTTACACAACAGTGTTTACAGTGAACACAACAACACACTTACACAACAGTGTTTACAGTGAACACAACACACACAACAGTGTTTACAGTGAACACTACAACACACTTACACAACAGTGTTTACAGTGAACACAACAAAACACTTACACAACAGTGTTTACAGTGAACACAACAAAACACTTACACAACAGTGTTTACAGTGAACACAACAACACACTTACACAACAGTGTTTACAGTGAACACAACAACACACTTACACAACAGTGTTTACAGTGAACACAACAACACACTTACACAACAGTGTTTACAGTGAACACTACAACACACACAACAGTGTTTACAGTGAACACTACAACACACTTACACAACAGTGTTTACAGTGAACACAACAACACACTTACACAACAGTGTTTACAGTGAACACTACAACACACTTACACAACAGTGTTTACAGTGAACACAACAAAACACTTACACAACAGTGTTTACAGTGAACACAACAACACACTTACACAACAGTGTTTACAGTGAACACAACAACACACTTACACAACAGTGTTTACAGTGAACACTACAACACACACAACAGTGTTTACAGTGAACACTACAACACACTTACACAACAGTGTTTACAGTGAACACAACAACACACTTACACAACAGTGTTTACAGTGAACACTACAACACACTTACACAACAGTGTTTACAGTGAACACAACAAAACACTTACACAACAGTGTTTACAGTGAACACAACAACACACTTACACAACAGTGTTTACAGTGAACACAACAACACACTTACACAACAGTGTTTACAGTGAACACTACAACACACACAACAGTGTTTACAGTGAACACTACAACACACTTACACAACAGTGTTTACAGTGAACACTACAACACACTTACACAACAGTGTTTACAGTGAACACTACAACACACTTACACAACAGTGTTTACAGTGAACACAACACACTTACACAACAGTGTTTACAGTGAACACTACAACACACTTACACAACAGTGTTTACAGTGAACACAACACACTTACACAACAGTGTTTACAGTGAACACTACAACACACTTACACAACAGTGTTTACAGTGAACACTACAACACACTTACACAACAGTGTTTACAGTGAACACAACAACACACTTACACAACAGTGTTTACAGTGAACACTACAACACACACAACAGTGTTTACAGTGAACACTACAACACACTTACACAACAGTGTTTACAGTGAACACTACAACACACACAACAGTGTTTACAGTGAACACTACAACACACTTACACAACAGTGTTTACAGTGAACACTACAACACACTTACACAACAGTGTTTACAGTGAACACTACAACACACTTACACAACAGTGTTTACAGTGAACACTACAACACACTTACACAACAGTGTTTACAGTGAACACAACACACTTACACAACAGTGTTTACAGTGAACACTACAACACACTTACACAACAGTGTTTACAGTGAACACAACACACTTACACAACAGTGTTTACAGTGAACACTACAACACACTTACACAACAGTGTTTACAGTGAACACTACAACACACACAACAGTGTTTACAGTGAACACTACAACACACTTACACAACAGTGTTTACAGTGAACACTACAACACACTTACACAACAGTGTTTACAGTGAACACAACACACTTACACAACAGTGTTTACAGTGAACACTACAACACACTTACACAACAGTGTTTACAGTGAACACTACAACACACACAACAGTGTTTACAGTGAACACTACAACACACTTACACAACAGTGTTTACAGTGAACACTACAACACACTTACACAACAGTGTTTACAGTGAACACTACAACACACTTACACAACAGTGTTTACAGTGAACACTACAACACACTTACACAACACAAACAGTCTAACGTGTTCAACTCTGACCTGTCTCTCTCTCGGTCTCTGTGTTGAGGAGAGGGAGAGTTTCTGCTCAGCAGGTCCAGTTTCAGTCTGTCCACCAGAGACACGCCACATCCCGATCCTCCCCTACACACACACACACACACACACACACACACACACACACACACACACACACACACACACACACACACACACACTCGCTTTATTCTGCTGTGCTTCATACAGAACAGAAGGTTTCAGAGCAGCTTCACAGGGACAAACAGGAGAATAATGATGCTGCTTACATGCTGTGTGTGTGTGTGTGTGTTACCCTGCTCCGGCTCCTAGTGTCTCTGTGAGTGACAGCAGTTCTCCTTCAGGTACTGTAGGCAGCAGGAGTCTCAGGAGTGTGTGTAGATCAGGATCAGTTATCAGAGCCTGCTTGACCAGCGCTGCTGTAAACGCCACATCCTGACACAACACACACATATTAATGTATAGAAAACAGCACACACACACAGGCACGCACACACACACACACACACACACACACACAGGCACGCACACACACACACAGGCACACACACACACACACACACACCTGGTCACAGTAGGTCTGAAGCCTCTTCAGCAGCAGTTTCTCTCTGTGATGCTCAAGTGTCTGATTCCTCCTCAACTCTCTGAAATCAGATAGTCCAGTGTTTACTGTAACTGTGTTTACTGTAACTGTACTTTAACTGTGTTTACTGTAACTGTGTTTACTGTAACTGTACTATAACTGTGTTCACTGTAACTGTGTTTACTGTAAATGTACTGTAACTGTGTTTACTGTAACTGTATTTACTGTAACTGTACTATAACTGTGTTTACTGTAAATGTACTGTAACTGTGTTTACTGTAACTGTATTTACTGTAACTGTACTATAACTGTTTACTGTAACTGTATTTACTGTAACTGTACTATAACTGTTTACTGTAACTGTGTTTACTGTAACTGTACTATAACTGTTTACTGTAACTGTGTTTACTGTAACTGTACTATAACTGTTTACTGTAACTGTGTTTACTGTAACTGTATTTACTGTAACTGTACTATAACTGTTTACTGTAACTGTGTTTACTGTAACTGTACTATAACTGTTTACTGTAACTGTATTTACTGTAACTGTACTATAACTGTTTACTGTAACTGTGTTTACTGTAACTGTATTTACTGTAACTGTACTATAACTGTTTACTGTAACTGTGTTTACTGTAACTCTACTATAATTGTTTACTGTAACTGTATTTACTGTAACTGTACTATAACTGTTTACTGTAACTGTGTTTACTTTAACTGTACTATAACTGTTTACTATTTACTGTAACTGTACTATAACTGTTTACTGTAACTGTGTTTACTGTAACTGTATTTACTGTAACTGTACTATAACTGTTTACTGTAACTGTATTTACTGTAACTGTACTATAACTGTTTACTGTAACTGTGTTTACTGTAACTGATTTACAGGTGCACATCATCATTATATTGTTAATAATGTTAAATCAGAATCAGTTCCTCTTGCAGCTGCTCTTCTCTGATGATGGGGGCGGGGCTATAACCTGTCAATGAGAGGAGATTAGCCAATAGCAAACCACAACCATCCAATCAACTCCTCACAGACACAGTCAAGCCCCGCCCACATGTGCTTTTATTCCTGAAGCGTTTCTCTTTATATACGAATCAATAGAGGAGAAACAACTAATGCATTTCCCTCTGAACACACGAGATCTCAGAGTCTGACAGATACTCGTACTTTCCATTCTCAAATAGACAAAATTTTCATACAACTGACTTCAAATTGCTACCAGTCCTAAATAATGTAAAAGACTAACTAAGTCTAGTCTAAGTAGTTTCTCCAGTAAACTACTCCAAGCGACTCCAGTAGTGTGAACACTGACAACAGTGACTGACACCTGTCAATCAAGTGCAGAACTATTAATAACTCTCACAGCCACCACATCATAAACCCTCTCGACAGAATGAGTGGGTGAGTGTGTGTGTGAGTGTGAAAATGTGTGTGTGGGAGTGGCACCTGTCAGTCAAGCGCTGCAGCTGCTGTCTCTTGAACAGCGCCTCCTGCAGGAGAACCGAGACTCCAGCGTCAGCATTCACTGTAAACATGCCATCTTCATCATCATCATCTGAGCCCCGCCCCTCTGCTGACTCCTCCCACAGCCCCACCTCCTGCTGAAGCTGGAGCTCCGCCTCCTCCAAAGCCTGGACAGAGAAAGACACTCATCTAAACCTCATAATTCACCATCACATGACCTTTCACCTGCCCGTCAACATGCTCTCACTGTGATATGATGAGTGTGTCTCACCAGGCGGTGTGTGTTTGTGTGTGTGTGTGAGTGTCTCACCAGGCGGTGTGTGTGTATGGCGTGTGTGATGTCACTGTGCAGTTGTGCAGTGATGAGCGTCTGTAGTGTCAGCAGGGCTGTGTGTGTCTCCGTCACTCTGGTTTTCTTCTCCGCTTGTTCCCACTGCAGCGACGCCACAAACACGGCCACACACTCCTGACACACACTCAGCTGCTGTTCCTGGAACGCACACGCCTCCTGCCACACACACACACACACACAGGTGTAACACAAGAGTAGTTCACTTTAAAACGAGAATTAGCCCATGATTTACTCACCAGGTGTGTATGACAGTATTCATCCAGACAAATATAATCCAGTTAAATAAAAACTCCTGGCTCCTCCAAGGCAGAGGATTGAAACCATCAGGTTGAAAGCTAAAAAAAAAAAGTGCATCTGTCCATCGTAAAGGTGATAGAGAGATGAACTTTTATGAGCTTTTACTTGATAAAGCTGGGAAGAGCCAGGAGATGTGTTTATATAACTCGTCTGAAAGAAGAAAGTCACACACAGCTGGGATAGGACGACAGTGAACTAGCCCTTTAAACCCGTCGAGTGAATGAGGCATTTATACAGCACTACTGTACACCCTAACTGCTGTCCAATCATATCAGGGCATCTGTCCTCAGGGATCATGTGATCTCGGCGCTGGTCTCTCTCACCCGCGGCAGTGTGTCGCTGCGCAGCCGTCGCAGTCTCTCCTGCAGACACCGCTGGAAACACTGCAGCTCCGTGACCTCTGATGACCTCTGCAGCTGCAGGTCAGAGAAAACGCAACACACACACACACACACACACACACACACACACACACACACACACACACACACACTGAAAAACTCATCTTCTTCCTCAGTGTTTCTGTCTCATTTTCCAGCACAAATATCTAAACATTCTTCAATCAAGATTCATTTACAGCAGAGGCTGAATAAAGAACACTGTACAACACTCACCTCTGTCTCTGAGCCTGCAGGGGTCACACAGGGGTCACTGAGGGTCACGCCAGGGTCACCGAGCTGCTCAAGCTCACAGATGGTGTGATGCAGCACGAGACATCGATCCAGACGACATGCGGCCTTCACACACTCCAGCTGCAGACGCACACGCTGCTCACGCGAGAGGGAGCGCTGACACTCAACCAGAGCGCTGACACACACACACACACACACACACACACTCTCATCAGATACACCGATCTACTAAACACAACGATATCCGACGCTCGACTAGAACAACAGCAGACGTGTTTCATCATATGGCTGCACTTCCATAACTAGCAGAGAGAAAAGAGTTTATTTTATTGCACTTGTTTGCATCTTTAACGAGTGTTAACGAGGTGTGGTGTGTTAATGACCTGCAGTATTGTCTGAAGAGTGAGATTAACGAGTGTTAACGAGGTGTGGTGTGTTAATGACCTGCAGTATTGTCTGAAGAGTGAGATTAACGAGTGTTAACGAGGTGTGGTGTGTCAGTAAAGAGTGAGATTAACGAGTATTAACGAGGTGAGGTGTGTTAGTAAAGAGTGAGATTAAGGAGTGTTAACGAGGTGAGGTGTGTTAGTAAAGAGTGAGATTAACGAGTGTTAACGAGGTGTGGTGTGTCAGTTAAGAGTGAGATTAACGAGTATTAACGAGGTGAGGTGTGTTAGTAAAGAGTGAGATTAAGGAGTGTTAACGAGGTGAGGTGTGTTAGTAAAGAGTGAGATTAACGAGTGTTAACGAGGTGTGGTGTGTTAATGACCTGCAGTATCGTCTGAAGGCGTGTCTGGACCGGTTCTGCTCCTCGAGCTCCTGCTGATGCTGCCGTCTGATGCGGCTCTGAGTGGATCTCAGCTCTCGGGCCGCCGCTTGACCCCGCCTCTGCAGACTCTCCTGAACCGCCTGCGTCTGCGAACGACCCTTCAGCTGTGCCAGCGCCGTCTGCAGCACACACACACTCACCTGCACACAACACAACATTCACAACTTCTGTTTTAATCGGACTAAATTAATTCCAACTGATGAATCTGAATGTATTAATGAAGTTTATTATTAGTGTTTACATGAACGCTGAACGTGATCTCATTAAATCGCTTCAAATCGTTTTGTGTTTTTTGACATGCGCACACTGCACGAATTTAGAGTTTCTGCAGTTAGTGTATAATAACTATTCTCCTACATTAGTTCTGTGTTTGTTTTAAACAGCAGATTTAATATTTATCCATCTCTGTTCATACGCTACATCATTACTCTATTTCTACATCATTTTGGTATTTCTGCATTTAAACGTAGCGGATGACAGCCGCGTTCCCTCAGTCCTCCCTCACCTGAAGACTAAGTGATCTTGAATGTGTATCGTGTGTGAGGTGTGTGTTCTTCAGTGCCTTGCGTGTTCGTGCCGCCGCCTCCTCGTCCAGGTGAGTGATGAGGTCTGAGAGTTCATTGTTCTGCATTATCAGCAGTTCAGTCCATTTCTGCAGGAACTGATCCACGGTGACGTCAGAGACGGCCTGCAGCTGCCGCCAGTGTTCACACACCTACACACACACACACAGGTGAAACACACACTCACATCTACCTAAACACACACACACACAGGTGAAATACACACTCACATCTACCTAAACACACACACACACACACAGGTGAGGCACACAAACACAGGTGCCAGTCCAAACTGTATATTCTGTCCCCGACCCCTAAACCTGCCTGCCCATCACACACTCACACACACACACACTACTCAGACCTCTAAACCTGCTCACAAACTCACACACTCACACACACACACACACTAACCTTCTCTGACAGGAGCTGTCGTCTCCTCTTGATGATGTCACAGCGGATGGCTCTTCGCTCACGACACACAGATTCTTCTAAACTCTGTTTGACGCGCAGAATCTCCGGCTGAACGTCAGAACACTCTCTGCTCACACACACACACACACGTGAGATACACACACACACACACACACACACACGTCTGCTAAAGGGAAGATTACACAGGCATAGACACAGAGGCACTGTATGTGGTGTGTGTGTGTGAGAATCTCACGTGTCTGTGTGTGTGTGTGTGTGTGTGTGTGTTCGACCTGTGTGTGTCTCTGCTGAAGGCTTTGCTCGTCGCGGTATGAAGACTCTGTAAACTCGTCGCCAGGAAGCGGCGCTGCGCGTGTCGCTTGGCCAGCAGTGCTCTCTGATTGGCCAGAATGACATCAAGCCCCTCCTCCAGAACATCCTGGGGCACATTTATATACTGTTTTAATGATTTGTTGGTACTGATTGTACAATTTGTACAGAGATTAAACGCTATGAGTTTATTCCATAAATATAAAAAATATAAGATGAACAATGACGGACAGATTTTAAACCACCGAAAAAATTTTATTTACAAATATGCACTACATGTTCAAATAAAGCTAAAGGCATACAACATGTGACTGAAAATACCACAAGTGTACCCCCCCCCCCCCACACACACACACAGAAAACACACTCACTCACACACTCTCATACCATACTCATACACACACACACTTACACTCACACACTCAGTCTACACACACACTCACTCTCACTCATACACACACACACCCACACCCACACCCACACACACACACACATACTTACACTCACACACTCAGTCTTACACATACACTCACTCTCACTCTCACTCATACACACACACACTTACACTTACACTCACACTCACACTCATACACACACACACACCCCCTGACCTGACAGCTGTAGTAGCGCAGCCGGAGTGTGTCGGCTGAGGTTCTCTGCAGTTCTCCTGTCCGCACGGCCTCGTCCAGCTCCTCGCCCAGGATCTTGTGCAGCTCAAACCGCCGGCTCAGTGTCTGCAGTCTCAGTGTCTGCGCAGACGCGTGTTGGTGCCGGACCCGCAGACGCTCCTGCAGACGCTCCCGCTCCCGCTGATGAAGCTCCTCCAGTAGAGCCCGCACATCCTGGTGACCCTGATGACCCTTGCCGTTGTCAAAATGGTTCCAGGTCGCATGAAAACACGGAAGCGACAAAATAAAAATCTGTATTATAAATTAAAGGCCAGACAAGTAATCTGGGGGGTCAATTAGTAAAGAAGACTACACGCCTGCGCTCAGACCCATAGACTAAACACGTAACACGCATGTGCTCAGTCCCTGCGGTTTCACAGGTTGGTGTTTTTGGGGTTTGCGCGGAGATGATCAGGTTTGCGTTCTCGAGCTCCAAACACTGCTGTCGTGCGAATGAGCCGGAGCACATTTAGGGTTTTAAAATGGTGTCGTGTACGCGGGCCAGAACTGAATAACTCATGATCTTTACAACGGAAGAGAATCAATCAAAACTAACTTCAGCTGGACAACAACGTTAATCTAGATCTGCTGTAAAGCCAAAACACTCTCGGTTACGCTAATTATCACTGTAAGGCTGCTTTGAAACAATCTATATTATAAAAGCGCTATAAATGAAGGTGACATGAGACACCAAAGCTCACATGCTAACTCACCTGTTGAAGCAGTCGTTCTGCGTGCGCCGCGTCGCTGGTGTGTGTGCGCTGCAGGGACTCGATCTGCTCCTGCGTCTCCAGGTTACACCGAGCGGCGAGCGCCTTCATCCGAGCCTCGTGATCCTCCTGGACCTTCCCCTCCATGCCCACGATCTGCCCGTGCACGACCCCGAGAACCCGTCTCTCGGCCCGGACGCCAGCCAGCAGCGCCGACACCAGCCCTTTAAACATCTGCACTCGCACACGCTCCAGCGCCACGGCGGCACGCGACAGCGTCGACACGCTCAAGCTGAGAGAGGCACATCAGATCGCGTCACACACACTCTCACACACTCCTGTCCTCCAAACCCGTCAGGCTTTCCTTCATCTTCAAGATCGTCTGGATGAAACACGGTTTAAACACTTGCTGGAATTGTCCGAGTAAGGCAGGCGTTCCCTTAGGGATCATGCGCTAAAGCAGTCTCCAGTATAATGGGCAGCTATAATGCATATTTAGTGCTGTTGTGGCCTGATGTCGTTGTGTTATGGCTTGATTAAAAATATCTTCATTTGTATTCTGAGGATGAACGAAAGTCTTACAGGTTTGGACCAACATGAGGGAGAGCAAATGATGACAGGATTGTCATTTTTGGGTCTATCCCTTTCAACTCAATTCAGTCCAATGTTGATTCAATTCATCAATTATGAAACAAACCCAATTTCATTTAGCTCAATTCAGTTCCAGTTTTGTTCTCATCTGAGAGTCAGTCAGACTGATAATAGGGGTGGGCGGTATGACCAAAATTGTGTTTCACGGTATGACTGATTTTATTTCACGGTAATGATATATATCACGATATAGTTATCTATATATGTAGTTATTCTCGAAAAATCAACAAAAAAGGATTTGTGTAATAATATCCCCAAATACGTTACAAATGAAAAGTACTTCACCTTGTTTGACTTTTCTTTTTCTTTTGTTTGGTCAATTATTTCTTTGGTGAACTATTTTGATAGCTAAATATAGTACATGTTTAGATCAACTGCCCACAACTGACTATTAAACAACTCATAGGTACAAATAAACTTTAAATAAAGTGTTGCTGAATAATTGTTCAATCTGATCTTATTGCTCTACTTCATCAATCAGTTTATAATATCTGAATATTTTCTACTGAACTATTCTATTCATAATAAATTAGTTACTTCATTTTAATTTTGTTGGATATTAGTCATATTTAAATGTGTTCACTGCTACATTTTCGCCATTTCGTTTTAAGTTTAGCTTTTTTTGTGATCTCAGCGCCATTCCCCCGAGAATATCACGTACAACCCTTTAGAAAACACACTTCCTTTGTGGATCCTCTTGATCTGCTTTCTCCATGTTTCTTTGACTAATCTCAGTGTTCGAGTTAACCACGCCCACTTATTTACATGTCACGATATACACGGAATAAAAAATCTATTACATTTTCCTCCGCGGTGACGATAATGCGTCATACCGGCCAGCCCTATTATTCATTAAGCGTGACTTTGTTTCTCCCAATGTTTTACACACCTGTCGAGTGCCTCCATCATGTTCTGTGGATCCTCCAACATCAAGATATCCACAAATTTATCCTCAAACGCTGCCTCCTCATTGGCCGACGCAGTGATGTCACATGTTCCCTCATACGGCCCCGCCTCTTCATTCACACTGCTCCTCTAGAAATGAGGAAACAGTCATTTCTTCCTCAAGTGAAACACACACACACACACTCAGTGCTGAGACTGTAAAGGACTGACTGTGTGTGCAGAGATGCGCAGTCGTCTGCGCTGGAGGAGCTTCACACCGATGACACTGAGAGACAACAGCAGGAGCGACCCCAGGAATGACCCCAGGAGGAGAAGAGAGCGATCCACATCAACCTGTCAACACACACACACACACACACACACCAGCCAGATAAATGTGTGAGTGAGTGAGTGAGTGTGTGTGTGTGTGTGTGTGTGTGTGTGTGTGTGTGTGTGTGTTCACCTGTTCAGGGGTGTTTATCCTTAGAGTAAAATTCGCCACCACTGGACCAAACAGATGAATGTCATTCTGAAACACAATCAACATTAATCACAGAATCATCACATTTACCAAAAACAATCAACCAGCGAATTCAGCAAATAGATTCAAATCTCTGCCAAACACTTACTAAACAGATGATATCTTTCATTTGTTAACCTGCCTGTGATGTTTCATATACACGCATCAGATTAGTGAATATTTGTTTTAACCCTATATCTAGACATCATATGTGTACTCTAGACATGAACAGCAATCCCAGAATGCACTATGACGAGCTCAGTGAGAAAAGATGACGAGAGAAACGTCAATTATTAACATTCGGGATCCGCTCGGGATCAAAACACAGCTCTTCTGTTCCGATCTCAAGATTAAACAGGTCCTGATTGATTGAGTGGTGATTGGCGATTCGATCACACGGAACGTGATGATAGAGACTCCAGCCATCATAGTCACATGTTTGCCAGAGCGCCGGACATCACAGCAAATTTAAAAGCGCTGGCTAATGCGAATCGAAAATTCTCTAAGATTATTATTCACGTCAGCACTTATGATGTTCGACTTCGCCAGTCGAAGATCAGCAAAATTAACGTTAAAGAGGTGTGTGAACTCGTTAGTGGTTACTCGCAATAACAACTTTCAAGGCTTGTACCTCAGAACCTATTTCATGGCTTACGTCCTCAAGCTCCAGCCACTGTTCTGTGCAAATGAACGTCCAGAACACATTAAGGGTTTCTGTTAGAGCGGTGTCGAGTTAGTGAGACAGAAGCAGAGAGAGAGAGAGGCGATTAGACAGGCAGTGAGACAGGAGAAGAGAGACAGACAGGCGGTGTGGATACCTGAGTGGCGTTGGAGAAGGTCAGAAACGCTGGTAATGTCAAAACCTGCTTTCTGTTTCCTTTCACTCTCATCCTGTACAAAACCACAAACTGAGACCCAGCTACACACACACACACACACACACACACAGAGTGAGAACAGTGAGTATGAGTTATATAGTCTGTCTGTGTGTGTGTGTGTGTGTGTGTGTGTGTGTGTGTGTGTGTGTGTGAGTACCGGGCAGTGTGTCCGTGCTGAAGGTCTGGTATCCTCTCTCCTGAACGCTCCCGTTGGTCTGTAGGAGCGTCACATCAGACACGGAGTCATGGATGCAGAGCTGCGAGAGGTCGTGACCTTCCTCTGGGTTCCTGACCAGCAGCGTCACTCGCAGCTCAACACCACTGTCCACCTGTGACACACAACTGGCAATATTACACACACACACACACACACACACACACACACACAGACACACAGAAACGCACCTGAGCGCACTTCAGGAACGAGACTCCAAACGCTGAAGGCTTCATCGTGCTCTAAACGTAAACAAACATCAAACTTGTGAGAATAAATGGGAACACAAATGCACAAAATTCTTCAAAATATCATTAAAAGAACGGACTCATAAAAGGACTAGATGAGGACTGCAGCTCTGATTCAAGACACTTTAACAAAATATCACATGTTTCCAGCCAGTTTCCATTTTTGAAAATAGAATAGTGATTGACAGGTGTCATTTTACCGGATTTGACGTATTTGGCGTGATTCTCTGATCCGCCCACTGACCAAAGGCGTGGCTCGAGATGACGTCATCCGTGTACTGCTCTGAGGCGCCGATACTCCGCCTCATCTCTGGAAAACAATACAAACAACTTCTGTTTCTGCTTTTTCCTCTCAGAAACAACGAACAATTTTTTTTTTGAGATTTTTTTTTTTTTAAAACAACACGAATCGAAAAAGAAACCTTTTTTGCGCTGGAATTTCTCCAAATCTTTCATCTTCTCTTGATCTGATCGAACAGATGTTGATTTATGGCGCGCGCGCGCGCGAGCACGCGCAGCATCTTCAGCTCTCGAGATAAACAGTAGCGCGCTCATAATTACAAACCACCGGTCCATATCCAAACTGCGTGGTTTTAATCCATAGGGTTTATTCACAAACCCGAGTTAAACGCGAGCCGGTTGAATAATCTCAGCACGACGATTACTAAACTCACTCACTATGCTTAAAATTACTAATACGGTTTCATATCACCAATGTCCCTGCTATTTTTACACAGTAAATAACTGTATAAGTATGTAATATCTCATGACTGGACGAGAGAAAAGCGCAGTTTTGTTTTTCCGGTTCTGTTTAGCGCACAACTTTTCCCAAACTTTAGAAGCAGCGTGTAGGCCCGCCCCCTCTCATCTCTGATTGGCTTGGTGAATAGCATTCCTTAGGGAATGCAGCGCTCCCATTGGCCACAAGTTCTGCCAGTCACAAGTAACAGTACAGCAGCAGAGAGACAGTTGTTGCGCCCGCCCGGTTAGTGTTTGAGATGCGCGTTAACGGCTCGTCGGACTCGTGCTCGGGGAACGCGCTGGTTGATCTGTCGGAGCCCCGGGACTGGGAAGTAACGTGGGCTCCGGTAACGGGCGTCACGGTGTCTGGTGCGGGTCTCGCGCTGCTCGCGGCCGCGCTCCTCTACGCTTGTCACCGGAAGCTGCTCATCTCTGCTCCGGTGAGCCGTTTATGTGCTTATGTTTTTGTGCTTATGTTTATGCTCATAAGTTACTTTGCGGAAGAGTTAGGAGAAAACATGCTTTTGCAAATAATGATGACATAAAAAGTCGAAATTATGACTTAAATAGTTGATGTTATGGCATAAAAAGTCAATTATAACTTAAACTTTTTAAGGCAAGACACCCCCAGGTGAATAGGGAAAAAACTAATGGATATTGTTCTGATTTCACAGCTGACTGAATACATTATAAAAATAGCAAACATCTTTTGATTAAAAGTTTTATGAAATGTTATGTTTATATATTCAAATGAGGCATTCATTAGATATGCACTCATTTGCATACACCTCCAGCTCATAAGTTTAAAATTACTGTATGATTTTGTTGATGACATGTTAGAGTTGAAGATTTTTACAGAAGGGATTTTGGATCACTAAAATACAGAAAATTTATTTTGATTGATTTATACATGATTTAATTACTGTATGTTTAATTAATAATGACCTTTTCATCAACTGTACTAGATCAGAGTATCAGTGTGTTTCTCCCTTTGGTTTTAAAGGCCATAAGACTATGCGTTTCCTCTGAGGAGATGAGCTCATACACACATAATCTTCTTTATATCTTCATTTCTAACTTTGAGGATATGACCAATGTAGATGTGTTGTGTGTCAGTGTGGAGGCCTGCGCAGGCGTGAGGAGGAAGAGGAGGAAGAGGAGAGCGACTGCGAGCGCCGGAGCTGCCGACCGCATGAGCCGGTGTGTGTTGCACTCACAAACACAGGCCTCTGGCAAACACACCACTTTCACACACACAGTTTCATTTTTCCATTGTAATTTCTGTGGATCATGTTTTATTCTGTGTAAGTCTCGCGTCAGAAAAACCAGCGATTTCAAACCGTGTTTTTATATTATAAAAGGTTCCTGGCTCTTCCTAGCTTTATAACGGCAGTGGATTGCAATCAACAGATTGAAGCTCATAAAAAAAAGAGCATTATGATGGACATTTTGAAGCTTCAATCTGATGGTTTTAATCCACTGCCATCATAGAGCGTGGAAGAGCCAGGAAACTTTTATAATTGAACTCAGATTGTTTTCGTCTGAAAGTGAGTAAATCATGGGCTAATTTTCATGTTAAAGTGAACTACTCCTTTAATGTCTCTAATAGCCTGATGCTTGTAGTTTAGGTCCGAGCTGGGCAGGAGTGTGTGTGTGTGTGTGTGTGTGTGTGTGTGTGTGTGTGTGCAGCTTCACTGAGGACAATCTCTTCTTCTTCTCTCAGGAGTCGCAGTGGACGGTCAACAGAGACGTGGCTGCGTTTGCCCTGAAGGCCAGAGTGATCTACCCCATCAACCAGAGATACAGGGTGAGTCTGTGTGTGTGTGTGTGTGTGTGTGTGTGTGTGTGTGAGAGCGAGTGATCTGATCTGTGTGTGTGTGTGTGTGTGTGTGTGTGTGAGAGCGAGTGATCTGATCTGTGTGTGTGTGTGTCAGCCGCTGGCGGATGGAGCCTCTAACCCCTCTCTGCACGAGCCGCCCATGCGTCAGGACTCCGCCTCCTCGCTGGGTGATGATTGGCCGAGCCACGAGAGGGATGATGACAGCGGTCAGTTCGTCTCCTGCGGCCCCTCGTCTAAAGCACACGCCAGTCATGTGTTCAGGAGAGTCCAGCATTACCCACAAACCCCCTGCCACTCATGGTCAGTGACACACACACACACAGCAGGTGTAGGAGCCAGTGAAGGGGTAATCAGGGTCACATGATGTGTGCAGGGTCAGCCTGGTGTGTGTGACGCTAGAGGAACTGCAGCGACACGCGTCACGCCTGCAGCGGGAGAAGCACACGGTACGACACACACATCATCATATTTCATCATGTATTTCTTTAATATAACATTATAATAAAATAACAAATGAAGTGTGTGTGGATTCTGCCGCAGATGTTTCTGCAGATTCTGCGCCTGTTGCTGGACGAGAGAGAACACGCTGACATCATCCAGGTGAGACAACTGAGGAAAATCATGTGATCAATGACCTGCTGCCCTTTCACACTGGGCCTCTGTGCAGGAGGCGGAGCTTCTGGCGAGAGGTGTGCCTGTGGATGAGGGGGAGGAGTCAGTTGCTGTGCAGGAGGTGGAGCTTCTGGCGAGAGGTGTGTCTGTGGAGAAGAGGGCTCAGTCAGGTGCTGTGCAGGAGGCGGAGCTTCCGGCAAGAGGCGTGTCTGTGGAGGACAGGGCGGAGTCGGGCTCAGTCACATGTTCTGTGGAGGAGGTGGAGAAGGCGGGACGGGAGCAGCTGGAGCGATCACTGCAGACGGTAATCTCAAACACAGCAGAAACAGAGACGGCGCACAGGATGAGGATTATCGCTAGATGTTATTATTACAATTATTATTAAAGGTGACAAATTATGCCCCTTTTCACAAAAAATTGGTAAAATGATAAATGGACTGTATTTATGTAGCGCTTTCATATTGCCTCACATTCACCCACTCACTCATTCACACACCGACGGCGGTGTCAGCCATGCAAGGCGCCATCAGCTGGGGTTAGGACACCTCGACACTTGGCCAGGTGCAACCGGGGATCGAACCACCAACCGTCCGGTTTGTAGACAACCTGCATGAACCACTGAGCCACTGCCGCCCCAGTGATTTCAGTGAATTTCGACTCTAAATCCCCCCAGATCATTTATTATATATTGTCAAATTTACCCTTTTTTGGGTGTGAGCAGAAATGTGCCGTTTTTGTGTGTGTCGCTTTAAATGCAAATGAGCTTTAGCTCCGCCTCTGTCCTGAAGGGGGCGGAGCCTACACACAGCTTCAGAGACTCTGGCAGGAACACCACAGGCGGATCTCAGTGTTCAGTGTTAGAACTGGGCCCTGCTGGCGCTCGCGAACCCAATGGCGCTGGTGTGTGTGTGTGTGTGTGAACGTGCAGATTAAGGGCGGGAATATTATAATAAGGTCCTATGATAAGATTATAAAAAAATATGTTTTGTCATGCTGTCAGAGAAAGACTTGTGTGTGTGTGTGTGTTCAGGCTGTGAGGTTTGCACAGCAGTTGCAGCGGCTCTGGCAGAATCTTCAGCGCAGGTTTTCCCGGGACGTCTCAGAGGAAGTGATGCGTATCATCATGGGATGCCTACGGTCAATGGAGGAGGTTCTGTCCGAGGTTCAGGCGTCAGTCCTGCAGGTGACGGTCACACACACCACGGCCACACACACCACGGTCACACACACCACAGTGTTCCCGCTGAGCTCAGCCTTATGCTGATGTTCAACAGATGCTGATTGACAGGATGGAGTGCTGGGAGGAAGTGAGCGACTGCCTGAGAGGAAGGACCACCCTCCTGAACCTGGAGGCGGAGCTTATGGTGAAAGCCACCGTCCAATCAGTGGAGCAGCTGAGATGTGATGGACAGCTGGACACACAGATCCTTAGTGACTTCCAGACTGCGGTTAATGAAGCAGTGGAGCAGAGCGCTGAGGGTACAACACACACACTCACACACACACTTACGCACGCACACGCACACACACACACACACACACACACACCACATCTGAAATCAAGATAAAAGAATTGTTATTTTAAAAATGAAAATTCTGTCATCATTGACCTGTTTACTATATTTACTTGACTGTTCAAACCTGTGTGTGTTTCTGTCTTCTGCTGAACACACGGGAGAGGTTTGAAGAGTGTCGGTAGCCGAACAGTTGACGGGTTAGCAGCTAACGCTAACGCTAACCCTGGCCGCTGTGACTTCACTAGAATAAGGATCCGCACGTCTTAAACATGTTCTGATTATCCCACATTAACGTGATGTTCTGCGGCCTGCAGCGATCCGACGACAGACGGAGACTCTCGCGCTCGAGCTCGTTCAGAAGATCTGTGTGAGGAGGAGGAGGATGATGAAGACTCAGAGCTGCGAGTGGAGTCGCCTGTCACACACACACTCACACACAGACACACACACACACACAGACACACACTCAGACGCCCGCCGCATGATGAAGGTGAGAAACACACGGCAGCGTCAAAACTGATTTAGAGACCGTCTGTCTGTCTGCTCATCTGTCTGCGCAGGCGTGTGTCTGTCTGTCTGCTCATCTGTCTGCGCAGGCGTGTGTCTGTCTGTCTGCTCATCTGTCTGACTGCTCATCTGTCTGTCTGCGCAGGCGTGTGTCTGTCTGTCTGCTCATCTGTCTGTCTGCGCAGGCGTGTGTCTGTCTGTCTGTCTGCTCATCTGTCTGTCTGCTCATCTGTCTGCGCAGGCGTGTGTCTGTCTGTCTGCTCATCTGTCTGTCTGCTCATCTGTCTGTCTGCGCAGGCGTGTGTCTGTCTGTCTGCTCATCTGTCTGTCTGCGCAGGCGTGTGTCTGTCTGTCTGCTCATCTGTCTGTCTGCGCAGGCGTGTGTCTGTCTGTCTGTCTGCTCATCTGTCTGTCTGCTCATCTGTCTGTCTGCTCATCTGTCTGTCTGCGCAGGCGTGTGTGGATCTGCAGGCGAGACACTGGCGTCAGAGGAGAGAGTTTGAGCTGCAGCAAGACGGCAGAATCACTGCGGCTCTGTGTGAACGCTGGACGGTCAGTATCATAATCAATAATCAATAATCTTCGATCATTCAGAACATTTCAGAGCCTCCGGGTCGCGGCACAGAAATCACCAGCCTCTCCCTATGGAGGATCCCTGTCCCACTCCACAGATAAAGCAGTGTGAGCGTTTAAAGTCTGTTTAGAGACATTCATATATATTTATACCGTACAGTTACTGTTACACTGAGAAATGAATATTCTTATTATGTTTTGATTGATGTGAAGCTGCTTTGATGTAATCTATATTGAGAAAACCGCTATATAAATATACTTGACTTATGCCGCAGATATATACCTTATTATTTGATGTGATGATGACCAATATTATTACACAACCCATGGACGTGTGTGTGTGTGTGTGTGTGTGTGTGTGTTTGTATCCACACAGAGCTTGTTCGGTCAGAGCCGTGGACGCTTGGCTGATTTGTGCGCTGAGTTTGTCCTGAGCAGCATCTCTACAGGCCCCACCCCCTGTGCAGGCTCCGCCCCCTCTGCAGGCCCCGCCCCCTCTGAAGACCTCTGCCAATCAGTGCTGAAGAGCGTGAAGCTCACCGTGGCCAATCGGATGCAGCGAGAGGAAGGCCACGCCCACACACACCTGCGCAGGCTCCGGGAGCAGCTGCAGCGACGCAGACAGGTCTCACTGCAGTCATGTGCAATATTATGGGATGTCAGGGCTCCAGACTGCCTCCTAATGTCGCATTTCCAACCTTTCTCCTGCCGGCGCGGCTCAATTTAGCTAATGGGAAGCATTCACAACCACCAGGAGAAACAGCGTCTGTCCACGAACCAGCAGCATTGACCATGAGTGTGATGTAGTCACACTGACCCTAACCGTGGTCCTGTCTGATTAACAGTCTAGTGTTTTTATATTATTCACTTCAATCATCCTGTCGCCGTAAACCGCCCTGTCAATCATCTTATCACAGTTAAAATCCTCCATTCAATCTAATTTAATGTCCTCCTGTTTCTGAGAGATGTTGGAGGACGTTGATCTGCCAGTCGTGGGTCTCTCATGCGGATTCTCTCCTCGTGTGTTTGCAATTTGAATATAATGATGCATTTAAGAGTTATTGGCTAAACGTGTCTTTCCAAAAGTCCACAATGCGGCTGCAGATGCGATATAATGTGGCCAGCACTCAATAAATATATTTTCATCAGGTTAGAGACTGATAATGAGTCACTCAAACCCCTTTATCTAAACCTCTCTGCATAACCGCCGGTCTCGCGCTCCTCCATGTCTGTCGTTTCTGAACACTTTTCACTCGTGTTTCTAGTTCAAACCTGAATCCTTGTCCAGTGCGCGATGGGTTGTGGGTAATATCCGCCGTTAGCGCGTGCATCGATCTACACTTCAGATTCTGACTGGATGTAGTAGACCATCCGGGTCTCTCTGGATCACTCATTTCAACACACTACGGTTTGGGACGCACTCGTTCTGTTTTCGAACACTAGTCAGGACGGATAGTATGCGAATCGGGACGCAGCATCTGTCTCATGAAAGGCTCAACGCTTTCTGCACGGTGTGTCTGAACAGGTGTGGACGGAGGACGAGGCTTTGACTCGCGCACGTCTTCATCACTTCGGAGAACAGCAGCACGCCGTCGTCATGGCGATAGTGTCCAGGCACGCAGATATGCAGATGAGGTGAGCATGTGATGCGCTGATTGGGCATTCGTTGGCTAGCCTGATTGGTGTGTGTGTGTGTGTGTGTGTGCTGATGAGCTGCTGGATTGCAGGAGTGCTCATGTAGACGAGCAGCAGCTGCTGCTGATCCTGGAGGTCCAGAGGATTCTAGCGGCGCGAGCGTTACACCTGCGGCTGATGGAGCTGATGAAGCTGGCCGTCCAGTCACACACACAGGTCAACACACACGCACACACTAACACACACACACACACACACTAACACACAGACACACACTCACACGTTTATTTAGTTATTAATGTAAAAGGTACATTGCATAAACATTTATTGTTTTCTTCTGATGTTTGATGAATAAAGGTCCTTTCACACTGGACGCCATTTTGACGCACGAATACAATACAGTGCTTATTTGGAAATGTGCTTTTTAGCGATTGTGATTTTTTAATTTTTTTTTATAAAGCTTATTAACAATTTAAAGGAACACTCCGACTTTTTGGGACTTTAGCCTATTCACCTTACCCCCCAGAGTTAGATAAGTCCATACATACCTTTTTCATCTCCGTGCGTGCTATAAGTCTGTTTGACGCACCCACCGCTAGCCTAGCTTAGCACAAAGACTGGATGTGACTGGTTGCAGCTTTCATACTAATCCAAATGAGTGACAAAATAACGCAAACGTTTTCCTATTTACATGTTGTGGTTTGTATAGTCACAGAGTGTGCAAATATCAAGGCCATATGAGACACAGACATCTTTTGACCGTATAAATACTATATTTTCTGAAGGGGAAGCACTGCTACTTGGGCAGAGTGATAACCATCACCTGAGACGCACCGTGACGAGGAGCAGAGAGTTCGCTTCGTTCAGCGTTGGAATAAAGAGTCAGCAATTACTAACGTTAGATAGAAAAGCATAGTTTATCATGGGTGTTTGCTTTATTGTATGAGCTGTGACAATAAACAGGGGAGACCAGGTAATGCAGTACCATTTTTCATTGATTTCCAACCAAAAACGCACCCAGATTTATAAATATCACATGAATAAATAATTATTATTACAGGAATCAATATATTTTAAATGCAATTTAACCAAATGAACCAAATGTATTCAACAGTAGCCTATATAATATACAGTATTGCATTACTATAGGATAGAATAAGGGGAAAGTAATAGCACAAATTGTTTTTGCACAATGAACTCACAGCCTATCGTACCCTTTTGCACGCTCAAGTTCGTTATTTCCATGGTTATTTCAAATTTAGGCTACAGGCGCGCCGCGCGCAGGGTGCAAGTTCAACGCGGTAAACGCGCTCGTTTTTTTTCCCAAGCGCGTCCGCACCGCATCAAGATTAAAACATATTCATACCCTAATCATATAATAGTGTCACTAACGTTACATTAGATCTGGCTAAAGGCACTGTTACAGTAGGTCATCTAAAAACACTTACCTCAGCCGCAGGTGCTCCACTTGTCCTGTCTGTGCTATCGATGGGATGGCCGTATCCTTCAGCACATTATGGTCTGTGTGGCAAATTCCATTTTTTCAAAATAGTCGTCCATTGAAATGTACCGAGCAAACATAATGTCCCTTGATAATCTTAGGTGTGTTTGGATAAATATCCAGAGTAAGTTAGCCATTTCTTCATCCAGTCAGCGTTTTTAGTTGGAATTCTGTGAAACATGGTATTACCTCCCCTGTTTACAGTCGCAGCTATTTACAATAGAGCGAAAACCCATGACTCTAAACTACGCTTTTACTATTTATAAATTGCTGACTCTGTTACCCAAACACCGAGCGAACTCTCCGCTCCTCCACGGCGTGTCTCCGGTGATGCGGTTATTACGCCGTCAAAGTAGCAGTGCTTCGCCTTCAGAGAATAGTTCCCAGGTTTTATACGGTTAAAAGATGTCTGTGTCTCATTTGACTTTGTTATTTGTACATTATGTGACTATACAAACCACAACATGTAAATAGGAAAACGTTTGCGTTATTTTGCCACTCATTTGGATCAGTATGAAAGCTGCAACCAGTCACATCCAGTCTTTGTGCTAAGCTAGGCTAGCGGTGGGTGCGTCAAACAGACTTATAGCACGCACGGAGATGAAAAAGGTATGTATGGACTTATCTAACTCTGGGGGGTAAGGTGAATAGGCTAAAGTCCCAAAAAGTCTTTTTCGTTTCTCTTTTTCGTTACGCGTCCGCAGTGAAAGGGCCTTAAAACTGATCATTATATCTCCAAATATGGTAAAGTTGATACACACACACACACACACACACACACACAGACTGAGGTTGAGTGTTGTGTTGTGTGCAGGACTCCTCTGTCGCCGTGTCCTGTGCAGAGGCTGTGATTGGCCAGAATCTCCTGCACGAGCTGGAGGCGTCGGCTGAGATGCTGCAGGGCCACGCCCACCTCCTGCTAGGCCACGCCCTCTCGCGGGCCGCACGCCTGCAGAGCGACACACAGCAGAAGGTCAGCGAGGTCGCTGTAGATCTGCTGTAACTCTCTCTGTGAACTCTGAACTCTACACTGTTACTGCGCTCGACGATACTCAATAATATCTCTAATCAGCACAATCACATATTTAACCCTTTCCCCAAAACATTCTTCATGCCTCAAAATATCTTCCGTTCGTATCTCAGTGAAACGTCAATCGACAGTGTGTGTGTGTGTGTGTGTGTGTAAATCAGGTGTGACGCATGTAGTGTGTTGATCGTGTGTTTGGCCTTCAGGAGCGGCTGATGGACGCGGTGTGTGAAAGTGTGTGTGTGACGCGGGATTGTGTCGAGTCTCTGATCCGGGAATATTACTGTGGGATCCGGAGCAGGAGGAGGACACACACCAGAGCCAGCGGTACACACACACACACACACACACACACACAGCAGAATAATTACATAATTTAATTTAATATTAATGAATTACTAAAATCACATTTAGGATTATCATGTGCAGGTCTTTATAAATGAAGCTCCTTCATGAGGTGTGTGTCTGTCTATGATTCCTTCAATCACTCAGTGTGTGTGTGTGTGTGTTTAGAGGATACAGACACACACACACGGTGGACGGATTGCACTAGAGCTCTACAGACACAACTCCTCAACTGGGCCAGAAAACCCACATCTACTGAACTACATCACAGGTACACACACACACACACACACACACAGTAAATGCATAATTATAAGTGTATGAATAGTAACGCACTCTGTCGTGTGTGTTCAGGGTTGTGGAGCTGAAGAGGACGTGTCTGACAGAGATTCAGAAAGATAGTCCAGAGCAAACACACACTCACAGACACCTCAGAGTATGTATACCTGAATGTGTGTGTGTGTGTGTGGGGGTGTATTTCTGTCAGCTCATCTGTGTGTGTGTGTGTGTGTGTGTGTGTTTGCAGGATGAAGAAGAGGCGTTCATGCGTAGACTGGCGTCTCTAGCACGAGTGTCTCTCAGGAACGAGGAGGATTTTACAGGTCAGAAACACGATCAGTTCGAGTCTTTGTTGACGTGACCAAAATTGTGTATTTGTGTGACTAGAGCATCTCTGTGTGTATTGTGTAGGGTGTAGGGTGTAGTGTGTAGGGCGTAGTGTGTAGGGCGTAGTGTGTAGGGCGTAGTGTGTAGGGTGTAGTGTGTATGGTGTAGGGTGAAGTGTGTAGGGCGTAGTGTGTAGGGTGTAGTGTGTAGGGCGTAGTGTGTAGTGTGTAGGGTGTAGTGTGTAGGGCGTAGTGTGTAGGGCGTAGTGTGTAGGGTGTAGTGTGTAGGGCGTAGTGTGTAGTGTGTAGGGTGAAGTGTGTAGGGCGTAGTGTGTAGGGTGTAGGGTGTAGTGTGTAGGGCGTAGTGTGTAGTGTGTAGGGTGAAGTGTGTAGGGCGTAGTGTGTAGGGTGTAGGGTGTAGTGTGTAGGGCGTAGTGTGTAGGGCGTAGTGTGTAGTGTGAAGGGTGTAGTGTGTAGGGTGTAGTGTGTAGGGTGTAGTGTGTAGGGTGTAGTGTGTAGGGCGTAGTGTGTAGTGTGAAGGGTGTAGTGTGTAGGGTGTAGTGTGTAGGGTGTAGTGCGTAGTGTGTAGGGTGTAGTCAGAGTGTGTGAGTGGACTGGAGCGGCAGTTATTCCCCCTCCGCGCTCTAAGCGTTTAAAGGGTTAGTTCACCCAAAAATGAAAATTAAGTCATTAATTACTCACCCCCATGCTGTACCAACCCCGTAAGACCTTCGTTCGTCTTCGGAACACAAATGAAGATATTTTTGATTAAATTTGACAGCTGTATAACTACCACATTGGCTCCTAAAGGACTGCCTCTTGACGGCCCAGAAAGTCAATGAAGAAAATGTTTAAATATCCCAAGTGACTACCGTGGCTCAACTATATGTTTATCAAGCGACGTGAATACTTTTTGTGCGAAAAAACAAACAAAAATAACGAGTTTATTCGACTATTTCTTTTCTTCCTTGTAGGCCAGAACGAGACTTCCTTAGATTTCCACGACGCATGCGCGAGAATTGCGATCTGAAGTAGTGTAAGCTGGTGTGAGCAGATCGCAATTCTCGCGCATGCGTCGTGGAAATCTAAGGAAGTCTCGTTCTGGCCTACAAGGAAGAAAAGAAATAGTCGAATAAACTCATTATTTTTGTTTGTTTTTTCGCACAAAAAGTATTCACGTCGCTTGATAAACATATAGTTGAGCCACGGTAGTCACTTGGGATATTTAAACATTTTCTTCATTGACTTTCTGGGCCGTCAAGAGGCAGTCCTTTAGGAGCCAATGTGGTAGTTATACAGCTCTCAAATTTAATCAAAAATATCTTCATTTGTGTCCCGAAGACGAACGAAGGTCTTACGGGGTTGGTACAGCATGGGGGTGAGTAATTAATGACTTAATTTTCATTTTTGGGTGAACTAAGCCTTTAATAATCACTCCGCTCCGAGTTCTCCATTTACAGCTCCGGCTCCGATCCAGGTTTTTTTTCCCACTCCACTCCGCTTCTCTCTGCTCTGCTATTAATTAAGCAAATCATCATCATTTGACTTGTACCTTTTCTTAAATGTTTCAAGGCTGAAATGTGAGGTTAATACAATGTTTTGTATTATTTAAAGTGACGTTGTTGAAATGGTTTGGTGTGTTTCCATAAATCAGCCAATACAGCGCGAGTGTGTTCTGTGCAGGTCATCGGTGTGGAGAGAGTTCCTGAAGGACTTCTGCTGGACCTGAGATGAGCGTCAGAAGACCAGCAGGACGATGCAGAACACACACACACACACACACACACAATCATAAAATATTATAATGGGTTTTTTTTCATCGATGTGTTACGATCAGACACACTGGCCACAAACGCAAAGTCAGTTGTACTCGTTTGTCTGGAGAGGTTATTAAACAATTGAGCAAATTACAAACAAAACAGAACAAAGCATTGCAGGAAGATCAACAGCAGGCGTGGTGTCCGTACACCAGTCTCTCCGTCCTCTCCTCTCGCTCAGCTTTTCTCTCTCGTTACCTGATCACACGACTAATGAAGAACACGCAGCCGAACATCAGTGACGGGAACAGGAACGTAACGCTGTGTTCATTATGAAAGTCAACAGCGTGAGTAAGATAGGATAATATATAATATATTATCATATATGAAGAGTTCAGATGCAAAAGCCTCTAAGTGCCATTTGAAATTTTCTTCTAGAAGGATCATTTTTATCAAGCTTGTATATTTAAGTTCAGTAATTTCACTTAAATGGCAATTATATTTACCTATTAATTGTTATTTAAGTGAAATTACTGAACTTAAATATACAAGTTTGATAAAAATCATCATTAAAGAAGAAAATTTCAAATGGCATTTAGAGGCTTTTGCATCTGAACTCTTCATATATATACAATATATCGGGAGACACATGGAGTGGCTCAGGCATGATTTGACCACTTCTTTCAGTTTTGTTTAGGAAGAAAGCCCTTCTTTAAAGTGAATTTCATTTTGAATAAATTGTATCTTAATTTCAATAATTTTATGTCAGTAAATTGCCTGGATTTAATAAATAAGAAGCAAATATAGCAGATAATACACAGAGGCGCGGGCACTTGCGTTGCACATGAACTGCAGCATCTCTTCGTAAATGAACCGAAACTCAGCGTATGCCTCACAGACATGAGAAATATATCTATAGAGAGCTTGAAATGTCTTTAAACAAAACAAACAGAAGTACTCTCTGAATATGTAATCCATTATAGACGCATTCACTGCGGAGATGGCGATCGTCTACTTCACCTCTGCAGACGACACTGACACAGAAAACACCAGATTATTAATAAAAATCAATGCACACGTCACCGGATTTACAAATGCACATCGTGCTTGTTGCTTGCAGACATATTCTGTCCAAATTAATTTAGTTAAAACTTTAAATTGTGATAATTAAAACTATTGAATATTGAGTGGCCAAGTCTTGGTAATTTGTATATGTACACTTTTAATGTAATGCGTTACGTTACTTTATCTTGTGTTCTCATCTGAGCTGGACTTGATTGATTTTAATAAACAATAAACTAAAAGTTCTGTTTTTTAGTCAAATGTAAAAGGTGTAACGTGTTCTAGACGTCACAATGACATCTGTGTGTGTGTGTGTGTGTGTGTAATTAAGATTCAATACAATTCAGGTTTATGTATCACACATCATTTCAAAGCAGCTTTACAGAAAGAGCACGAGTCACATTACAGTTACAGTGATCTGTCATCAGAGGAGACTGTCTCGTTATGTTTTACAGATCATAAACCGAAAAACAGTTAGCAAACAATGTATTCATTTAAACAATGTAGTAAATGAATGCAGATAATGAGTTCATTGAATCAAAGCCAAAAATCTCAAAAAGATGTGTTTTAAATGTTATGTTGATGTCTGAAAGATGTATGTTTATGCATGTTAAAGCCGTTTTGCGCTCCAGCTGTTGGTGGCAGTAATGCGCCAAACACGGTTCGGCCAAACAGCAGGCAAACAAGAAAAAGGCCCGATTGCGCATGCGCGGAGGTCAGACAGCCAAAATGGCGGCGAGTAACGGCGGCGGGATGGAGGTGGACGCGACAGGTGAGAAATTCACTCGCGAGCGTCACCTAACGCGCTTCATTAATGACAGACTCACTTCACGAACATTAAGCAACACACACGCTGGCTTTACTGACATCTGAGATCTCCAGGAACGGCCTGTGAGGCTCGCGTTGTTACTGACTGATGATGCAGGCTCGGTCTTGGTTCTGATTGGACAGCGACCTTCATAACTCCCGCCTCCCGGCCGGAGTCTCTCCTGTGATTGGCCGCGTCTGTTGCTCAGATCTGATGTTTTGGTTTTTGACGCCGTCATTTAAAGTTCATAACAAACGGCCGAACTCTCGTTCTCATTACTGACCAAACTGATCTGAAGATATACATCTAATTCTTCACTATTCGAGTCATTAAAACATGTCAAATGAAAGATCTGAATCAGTCGGTATAAATGAATCTGTCATACTTAAATATAATGAATGAAATGGGCACAAAGAGAAAGTTGTCGATATTTCCGAATGATTATGTGGAAGGTGTGTTTTGGCCACATTTAATTTAATTTAATGGTCAGTACAATGTATTTATTGTGTTGATGTTGTATTGCAAAACTCTTGTGGGTATTGGGAAGGTCAACTGTGTAATAGATGTAGTTTCAGGAATTCACTACAGCTGCAGGTATTTTTTAAATATAATTACATTATAAAACATGCATGTACACAAGTGCATTGTATCAAAAGTATTAATGTAAATTAATTAGATAAAAAAATTATTAAAATAAAAAGTTTAATTTTTTAATAAATTATTTAATTATTTAATAAAAAGCTATTTTATAGCACATCAGTTAAAGACACCTAATATAAACTGGGACCAGTTTTTTAATCATTAGAAAAAGTTTCTCAGAACCATCATATAGTTCAAAAATGTGTGTGTGTGTGTGTGTGTGTGTGCAGCGAGCCCCAGTGTGATGGCGTCGGGTGTAACAGGCAGTGTGTCTGTGGCGTTGCATCCGCTCGTCATCCTGAACATCTCCGATCACTGGATCCGGATCCGCTCGCAGGAGGGACGAGCCATTCAGGGTGAGTGTGTGTGTGTGTGTGTGTGTGTGTGTGTGTGTGTTTGCAGAGCTTCATAGTCTAACCCTTTTCCTCAAAGGTAAAATCTGTTCATTGATGTCAAACAAAGGCATATCTGCGTTCTGATTTGTGGGATGAGACCGGAGTCTGTTTTTGTCATCATGAATCGCTGAGTTATGTGTGTGTGTGTGTGTGTGTGTGTGTGTGTGTGTAGTTGTCGGCGCTCTGATCGGGAAGCAGGAGGGAAGAAACATCGAGGTGATGAATTCATTCGAGCTTCTGTTTCACACCGCAGACGATCAAATTCACATCGATAAAGAGTATTACTACACTAAAGAAGAGCAGTGTGAGTATAACACACACACACACACACACACTTATGCACACTCTAGAGTTGTCAGAAAGTACCGACTTCGGTACTGAAATTTTATTAATGTGAGTCTTTGAGCGGAGTCATAAACGCCTCTGATTGGCCGTTGTGTTCGCGAGCTCGTCTGTCTGAATTTTGTACAATTTCTGACAACTTTATCACACACACACACACACACACACAAACAATCATGAGTATTAGTGTCAGAGAGTATGCGTGAGTGTGTGTGTGTGAGTGTGTGTGTGTGTGTATTAGTGACGCTGTTTTTCCTCTTTTAGTCAAGCAGGTTTTTAAGGAAATGGAGTTTCTGGGCTGGTACACGACCGGTGGCGCTCCTGACCAATCAGATATCCACATCCATAAACAGGTGGGCGGAGCTACAGACGAAGCACCTCCCATCAATGTGTGTTGTGTGTTATACTGAAGATGTGTGTGTGTTTTTATAGGTGTGTGAGATCATCGAGAGTCCGCTGTTTCTGAAGCTGAATCCCATGACCAAACACACTGACGTGAGTCACACACACACACACACACACACACACAGAATGTGTTTCTGAATCCTGACCTTTGACCTATTCTTTGCAGTTGCCAGTCAGCGTGTTTGAGTCTGTGATTGACATCATCAGTGGAGAGGTGAGTGAGTGTGTGTGTGTGTGTGTGTGTGTGTGTGTGTGTGTGTGTGTGCCACGAGACAGACGTGTGTTTGATCACAATCTTTTAGTTTTTCAATATCAGTCCAGTCACTCTGAGTCTGAGTAATGCGACACCGTGAGCTCGAGATGCGTCGCATGTTCTGAAACCTCTGTTGTTCGGAGGTCAGAGGTCATGAGTGTGTGTCCCGTGTCGATCTCGCTAGGCGACGATGCTGTTCGCTGAGCTGCCGTACACACTCGCCACCGAAGAGGCCGAGCGCATCGGAGTCGATCATGTCGCGAGGATGACGACCACAGGATCAGGAGAAAACTCTACAGGTGCACACACACACACACGCACACACACACACACACACTCACACACTCACACACTCATTCAATCACTCATTCAAACACACTCACTCTCACACACACACACACACACACTACAGGTCATGTGAGGGATTGTTGTGTGTGTGTGTTTCAGTGGCGGAGCATCTGATCGCTCAGCACAGCGCTATAAAGATGCTGCACAGCCGCGTGAGGGTCATTCTGGAGTACGTCAAAGCCGTCCAGGCAGGTGAGTCACACACACACACACACACACATCTTACAACACATCGTAAACTGTCATCTACACTCAAACTCTTTGTGTGTGTGTGTGTGTGTGTGTGTTAGGTGAAGTCCCGTTTAATCACGAGATCCTGCGGGAGGCGAACGCTCTGTGTCACCGTCTGCCTGTTCTCAACACACACAAGTTCAAGACCGACTTCTATGATGTAAGTGTACCCAAAAACACACACACTCTCTCTCACACTCATAATCACACTCATACACTCACAGACTCACTCTCACACACTCTCACACACACACACACACACACACACACACACTCACACACACTCACTCACTCACTCACACACACTCACTCACACACACAAACTCTTCAGACGCTTGATTGGATGAATCACATTTACACACTGTGACTGAAGTACTGTTGTCTGGTGTGTGTGTGTGTGTGTGTGTGTCCTCAGCAATGTAATGACGTGGGTCTGATGGCGTATCTGGGATCCATCACCAAAACCTGCAATAGCATGAATCAGTTCATCAACAAGTTCAACGTCCTGTACGACCGTCAGGGCATCGGCCGGCGCATGAGGGGCCTGTTCTTCTGAAGCACTCTCTCTCCCATCATACCCTGTGCTCTCTCGCCCATCATACCCTGTGCTCTCTCTCTCACCCATCATACCCTGTGCTCTCTCACCCATCATACCCTGTGCTCTCTCACCCATCATACCCTGTGCTCTCTCTCTCTCCCATCATACCCTGTGCTCTCTCTCCCATCATACCCTGTGCTCTCTCGCCCATCATACCCTGTGCTCTCTCGCCCATCATACCCTGTGCTCTCTCGCCCATCATACCCTGTGCTCTCTCTCCCATCATACCCTGTGCTCTCTCACCCATCATACCCTCTGCTCTCTCTCCCATCATACCCTGTGCTCTCTCGCCCATCATACCCTGTGCTCTCTCTCTCTCCCATCAT